TGACTATCCCATCCACTGATTTCCATGGTTTTTATTGGCTATATGTCTAGTTACTAGACCGCTGAGATTACTTTACTTGTGGAAAAGGATCTCGAGGCTTACTATGTCTGTCAAGCATTTTAATGAAGTCGATGTAGATGACGTCGAGAGAATTCCCTTGGTGTACTGCCTGTAGCCACTTCTGCTTCGCCAAGAGCAAGTTAATAATGTTTGAGCAGCCTAGCACGAAACTGTGACATGCCGAAGTTACCATATAGTTCGATTAAAACAGATGCTGTGGACCATTGTTCACCATCTTCTTGGCAACCATGGCCAAAATAGGTGTTGAAGTGGTTTGTAGCTGTCCACTTTGAAGAGGCCACAGCTTTTCGGAATCGGCATTACTAATGAGCGTTTCCAATCGCCTGGCAAGGAATACTCGGGTGGTAATTTTCTGAATAGGTTAGGAAAGAGTAGGCAAAATGACGGCCGATAAGGACGAGAATCAGTGAGTGGATGCCGTTACGCTCAGCAAATCAAGTGTCGTCAAGTTTGGCGAGTAGTCAGTACAACATTCCTAAACCGCAGTAGAATAAAAGACTACATAGAGATTAATGGGAAGCTCAGTAGGCTATGAAAAGTGTCAATGTCTAGTTAAGCAAGCTTTAAGTTTTCCAAATGTCCAAAACTAGCCGTGTGCCTCGATAAGCTACGCACTCCAAGTAAGCGATAGTTTCGCCCACCAGACACCGAGCAGCCACGCGGACAGTCACGACAAACGCACTCGCACCGAGCTGAAGTGACAAGGCTTAACGAAATTCGAAGAAGTATGTGCCGGTTCAGCTAATTAAAACAACTGTACAACAAGTAGTGGAAGATAAAACAAGGAAGTACAGTCGAAAAATGCAAAAGGTTTAGAAGCGTTACACCGCAACCCAGACAATCCAGCTCTATAAATGCGGCACACACCCATCTCAGAACGAACACTTAGCAATTTGCAAATATGGAAGCGACACTGGCCGTCAACAGGGAAGCACTTTCGGTGCTGTGGGTTAGGGACTGTCCATCCGAACCCTTTATTCTTGGTTGCTCACCTGCCGGCGTCAGGCGTCGCTTCAACCAAAACTTCTTTTCGCAACAGGTTCTGCAGTGCTCGCTCGTTCTTGTACTGATGCAAACATTCTGCCGCCTCCTGTACGCTACGGAATCGTACGAAGAGCTAGAGAGGAGGAATTTGTCCTACAATCTGAGCTGCATCAGAGCCATTTTACCACACTCCTTGTCGAACCAATATGACTTGACTGGTTCAGCTTCCCGACACTTCCGTGGAACAAACCGAGAACAGTGTAATGCCGTTCCCAATTTTATATTCGCCCAAAGTATACCGCAGTTAAAGTTAGTGGTATAGATCAATCCGCATAACACAACTGAGCAAAAAATGCCCGCCATGGTGACCGTAACTTATGCCCCTGGTCGTCCCAGTTGGACACATTTGGGACAAAGTTTGGTCAAGTAAAAAATATTTCTCAGCGCACTGTTAACATACACCCAAATTGTAAGAACGCAAGATTACAGCCTTAATGCAACACCGATAAGTTTTTTGAATGAAGGAAATCCGGCACAACTGTGCATCACTGAGACGGTCAGTGGCATGAAAAATGGTCTATCAAGGTGCCCAAACGGCCACTTGTGTCAGTCAATCCAAACAACCGCTCCTGGGAATGCGCTAAACTGAATATGGATCTAGTTTGCTGGGCGAAACACACTGTGTTGCTCACAACAGAATGATTCAGCCTCCACGGCGACATGTGATTCTGCTATGCTTTTCCGGCTCATCTCATTTCGGCAAGCAATATCCAAAACGTAAGAGAAAACGTTGGCCTTCACGAAGACCTCAAGGGCCCCCAAACGGTGCTTTAATGCATGAATTGGGAAAAGGAACGCGATACATAACACATGTGGATGTATTTGCTAGATGTCCAATAATATTGGAATAGGCAACGCAAAGCAATTGTTTTTGGATTACGAGTAACCCGTGAACAGAATATCTGGTAGTTGTGGGGTACAACGCGACAGTAAAAGTTTCGAAGTCAAACGGAAGTAACAAGTATTATTAGATGAAATATGCAGAATCGACAATAGAGCTGAATGATACTGTACTTTTTACGAAAAAGTTCCTATGTACCATATGTAAGCATGCACTTCACTATATTCGCGAATAAGCTGAAAAAATAAAATGTAGCTTGGATTTGAGTAATATGCAAAATGGCTGCATCAAAATTGCAGACTTACAAACGTGCGGCAACTTATAATTCTAAGCTTAACACCTAACGCAAAAATTAACCGAACGCCGAAAGCATTAGTACAGGTTATAACCGTCACCCAATGTATGACTTTAAAGATAAAAGGCGGTAATATTCAAGCCACGAAATTGCATTCACTGTAGGGGTTGCGTAAAGAACCTTGAATAAGTGTGGATGCCATGGTCAGTTATGCGCAGTTACTCATAACTTGATATATTATCTGTGGCAGCTTATTTGTTTTCGACGGTTAAACAACTTAAATACCGGTTGCTTTATCACTATTCGGCCTAAACCTTCCTATTCTAGGCAGCTCAATCCTGGTTTCAAGGTTGCTTGGTGGCGGTCCAGTGCTCGAGTACAAAAGACAGTGGCAAACTTCAGAAATAAGCGGTACTGCGCATGTTGGATCCCGCTGTTAAACTTTCAGCAAACTAACCAAGTGCGTGGGGGAATCTCGATCACATATGACCCATGAGTGCCTAAAAGTAGGCGGGCAGGCCTCCATAGGGCCACCTGGTACCAAGCTGAAGTTAGGATTATGCTATCCGCCTGGGAACTCAGTCCTTACGAAGGTTAGGCCAATAATTTGTAAGAGGAAAATCAGTGATGCTAATCTCGGAATGGATAATTGACCTATGAAAAACCACTTGGGGTATAGCAAACAAACGCGGCTTTCATCACTTGAGCAATCCTTTAAAAGTGGTCATGATTGGTAATTTTTATGGAGCTATCGTACAGCGTAACATAAGCCCACAATACTAAAGGCCAACAACCGTCCATTTGAGACGGAAATGAGTGGTCCATCTCGTCAAGAACAAAACAGTTGTTAATTGACCATCAAGTAGTCAGTGTCAACACGAGGGTCATAGAGAAGTGAGGGTAAGCAGACGTATTCGGGTAAATTCGAGACCTGTCGAAGGCGTGTAGGCCACGCAAGCGGCGACACTTACGTTAAGTGGGTTACACAAGGTCAGCTGAGACGAAGTTTGATACCAACCAGGCTGGGACAGTGACCATAAAATAGTTCGCGACTGTCTGTGGAGCAAAAAGGCGAGTTGAATAAAGGTGAGTGGGAAAACGCATAAAGTGCAAGGTAAACTTTGATTACGTACGCAGTCGGGAAATTACGAAGTGAACTAAGTACGAGCGTAAAGTTGCCTTGCAGCAACAGTGACGGAAAAAGTGACTACTAGCTTTAATTTTACTTGTTCCTTCATCATGCACTAGGGCACTTCAAATAAGCCCTATATCGCATAGCACTTTGTCTCCTTCAGATAAATGCTGCTCCACCTGATCCGATATCAATCGCACATTCGGTGATCTAGTCGCTCGTCTGAAGATTTTGCCTTCTGTCGTACCACGACCCATTATACAAAAAATTTATGGTTCACATTTACAACCTACTGACTGTAACAGTCCAATGCCTTGCTGGTAATGCTAGCAAACGGGGATCCAATGCTATACGTGACACGTCGGTGTGCAACCATCCTACACGTTAGTGTATCAAAGCTGAATGCAGTTTCGCCGCATTATACACATACTCGACTATTCCTAAGTTATTGCTTCACTTTGGGTAGCCAAATGACTCCGACGGAATGTCATAAGGTAAGCCGCCTTGAAGCAACCGTTGGGTGTCGTAGACGTGCACCAATGTATAAACTAAACATGAAGGTTCATTACCACTCTTAATTTGATTCTCAGACGACCAGAGGCCCATTACCATAAACACTCGCTTCATTAAGGTTGGCGCATTTAAAGATAACTTCTTTTAGTCGGGCAACAACATGCAGATGTCTGTAAAACTCAGCTTATCCCATAACACGGTTGATCGATCATCGCACGGGTAGTGACCACTACATCGCCTTGAGTGGATTTTTCTGTGCCCATGGCCGAATTGCTGATACACATAACAGACGAATGTCAGGCACGCAAAACGTACTCTGGTGGGTTATGATAACAATACATGTCCGGCGAAAAGTTATTCAACAAACTTCATAATGCAGTACTGAATAATTAAGACTATACAAACTTTTCTGAGTAGCCAAAAATCCTTCCAAAATTGTCTAACTAGGACGACCAGTTGAACCAATAATGCTGACTCAACAACAGCCCATCGGTCACTCCCGCTTACTGGGTGCACGATTTTACCAGACAGCTTACAAGTGATGCCTGTGTTGTGAACAGTGAAGTAGAAGGTTTAACGTTACATTCAAATAATTCACGTCCTTAATTCTTCTGAGTAAGTTTTTCTCTGGGAGTAATTGTATAGCTTACATAAGACGGCAGGACCACACAATTGTGCCGCAGGAGCTTCGCCCATCAGTTGGTCAATTTTTTGCAGTCAAAAAACATAGTAGTCGCACAATGAAGAGGCAACAGCATACTAGACAGTGGCCGGAAAAGTACAATACTGTTTGACTGACGGGCACCAAATAAGAGGTAGTTTGGTATATAAGAGAAAGTTTAGTGAGACTCGGGTAAATTCCTGGGTTTCTGTGTAAATAAACAATAGTACTCAACATACGACAAAATGTCTATAATGGTTAGTATTTCACACATCACATAAAAACTGGGGGGTAATCTACATGCTGCTACGGCAAATAGGGCACACTTGTATAGCAGTGCTATGGCTAAACAGCACAATCATAAGTTTCGACACACGAGTACGAAGAAGGAATAATAAGAAACCAGGCAAGACGAACATATTTACAGACTTACTTGTACCAACTGATTGGGAAGTAATAATGAGCCCGTCGGACCTGACCAAGTAACAAAAGGAGGAGTGCTGGCTGTGGAATAAAAGTACGCAGACAGGAGCAACGGTTTATAATCAAAGTAATTGACAACGTCTGTCCTTTTCATCCTCGGGTGCCAATAGACTCTGTCTAAAGCAGTATGAACAGGACTGGTGCGTTTACCAGGCAACTCCTCCGACGCATCATATGGCACAGTATTCATGTGTATGTTAGTGTAATCACTGTCCAAATCTGTGCAGGAAATATGTAACGTGTTGTTACCAACCGTTTACAAACAGAGAAAAATTTCCACAAGTATGGACACGACGAGGAGAGCTAGCGCATGAATAAACCCCGGAATCATTTGACCTCAAGTCAAGGATTTCAATATGCGTCGAAGAGATAAGATACTTTCCTCTCCTAGTGCACATTTTCTGAAAATGTAAAGTAGTTACCTTGGGTAAATAGGGGTTGAATTGTGCATCCAAACAGTTTCACACGAACAACGGCGCCTGTATGAAGTATAAGGGCTTCTAAGAACGGCAGAAGGTCTTGCTGCGCCGAGCGTAACGATTTGTATCAAAAGATGCAGTTGGATAACAAAAATATAGACCATATCATAGAAACGCCGCAGAAAGTCCTAACATCGGCGCGGACATAGGGAATCCGAAACATTCATCAAGGTCAGTAACGAGTTCACGCAACAATGAAACGACGGAGAAAAACAACATTAACGTAGGCGGCAACTTGAAAGTTGTTCGATGTAGCAGTTGCTTATCAATATTTCTGTTGACGTTTGTATACGGTGTTACTGTTCTTGGTTTTTTGGTCCCTTGGGGACTACGGTTGCACTCCAGAAAGTTTTCTTGTACGAAGTCAAGAGTTCAAGATGTCTTCGACCTTAACCTAGAGGGTTATTGGTATCTCCTATTCTGTTTGCTTTTCTATTTATTCCTCGTTGCTTTTAGAGCAGCCACCTTACAAGCGTTTTTACGTATGGATAGTTCCTCAAAACGCTGACCATCATAATGATGTCCTACTCGTCACGAAGTGCAAGTCCGGCGCACTCTCCGTCCAGCTCTAAGTATCACAATATGAAGCAATAGTTTTGTTTTTCAGCTTCTCAGACTGTTATAACCTGCGTTTGCCATGGACTCGGAAACCATCCAAACCCTTGACCGGACGCATGCTACAATTGACATCAAATAAATATTCATGGTAGCACGGAAGTATTCTACCATGCGAACATTGGGATGTGTGTGGTAGCTCGGAGGACGGGAGACATTCAAACTTAAAATTGTTCTACTATGGGTTTATGCTTATTGACAAAAGCAGTGAGCAGTTCTATGCGGTAAGTGGCCACTAAGCTTCCCGTGAAACCTAGTAAGCCGGAAGCTGTGGGACAGTAAGTGATTAGTTCGTTTTATCCGCCATTGTTATTGAAGGCCAAGCAAACAATGTGCTAACTTGCTAATGTTGCACGAGTACGAAATGAAGAAACACTAGCACGCAAATATATATGCTAAGCACGGTTGGGCAAACATGTACCCTGGTGTTCCATGCCAACCTAGGATAAGGCGCAAGCATAACATTTTAATGCGGAGAAGCCTATCAGTAGAGATTCAAGCGTCTAACAAGTTAAGGTCGTAAATTTTGCATATCACCCATGCGAAATGGTTAGCGCAATATGCTCTACATTTATCGATTCATGGGAATGGTACAGCTACGGCAAGTATAAAATTGGGCTGACCTAGTATACCTTCCCGTCCCACTGCTGACCCTCCGGCAGGCTATATTTGCTTTGTCCCCAACTCTTATAAGCTAGCTAGAACCGTCCGGCAAAGTAACTTCTACTCAACGATTGCAGGCCGAACGACATACAATTGGTGTCATCTGGGCTGTTCCGTTGTAACCCGTTCTAGCAGTGCTCCAACATGCTGGCTTTTCACCTGGCAAGCATTTTCCAATGAATAGCCGCAAATGTCCGTTTAGCAAGCTGTGAATAGGCGGATGTTACTCGCCACAAATTAAAGTCACTATCCGTGGATATCTGAGTAATGACATCCAATCTACGGACATCAATCGCCTATTCTTTCCTGACAGTCATTGTCAGCCACAAATACATCACACCTCTTACAAACACAAGCAACAAAGCTACACCTATGCAAAGTTACACACATCCACGACACCTTCACACTTATGACAAGCAAGTCGCATTCTTGTACATTTATCTTCACACTTCGTTAGCAGAACATGATCACGTCTGTAAATGCGTGCCTTGCTTTACGGCAAATAAAAGGTTATATTCTTTTAAACCAAATCCTTGACCCCAGATGCTTAGTGTGGTTCTCTCTACCCCACAGGAGTGCAGGACGGTACTGCCATCGGCTTCCAAGCTCACAGGTAGCAACTTTACGGGGTAATTCACCTTTCGTTTGCGGCCAGATTAAAGTGAAAGGAAGCCAGCAACGATCTATAAGCCCGGCCCGAGACTGGCGAGCAATGTCACCGCTTGGTAGGTTAAAAGGTAATTAGTCCGAGATACTTCTCCGCTTTGCAAGCACCTAATATACCTGTGCACGACGCAGGAATGGTCGTGCCGAAGTACTTTATCTGTGCCTTTTACAAGCAGCTTTACGTGTAGTGCGAGTAAGTTAGCGTGTTAAAAATCAACATAATGTGTTGTGCATTCAAGTTCACGTGGGCATCAGTTCATCCTCTCACTGAGAGCTTACATGCGCGCACTATCAGTGACACTCTCCTTGTTATTGGGACATTAGAAAATGAGATTCCTTGGACGTAAACACAGGGCTAGAGGTATGCGTCTATGAGGTACAGGTGAGCTCTTAAGTAAGTGGACATTGCTTTTAACAGAAAGCATACAGGGAAGAGAGGTCAGTGCAACAGCTCACCAGCCGTACGCCTGACTGTAGCTGGTCAACCTAGGATTAGATGTTTGCATATGCTACCCCAGCGTTCTTGTAACCGAGCTTTTGTCGGAACGGGGTACCATTGGTTCGTACACTGCCCCTGCCGGTAGCTGGTATCCCTGTGCCAAATTGCCAACGCTTGTGCAACAGCCCGAGAGGTATCGTGCGCACAATTGGAACACAGTCTGACGCAGAGTACCAGTGGTAAGTTTAGACTTTACGCAAGTGTACCCTCTGATCGAAACAATATGCCGCACTAAGCTAATAATAAAAATAATAGTAATAATAATAATAAGGAGCAACTTTCTCTTCAACTTAAAAGCTGCGGTAATAGTTGACCCAGAACATACAGAAAAATATAAGGTCATGCGTTTCCAGAGCAATGGCACCTCGTCATCTTATTTTTGTCCATCATTCTAGCAAGGTATTTACCCCATACATTAGTCACATGCGATGATAGTGGGCAAATTTGCAGTTGGAGTATGTTGTAGACACGGAGGGTTAGTAACGGTGCGTGAACCGACGATACCACATTCATTAGATTTTAGCTGGGCTTCAATTGAATGGATGTTAAAATGAACTTCACCAAGAAAAAATGACATATTGGTGTCTAGGCAGAGGTAGCTTCCCAGCTTACTGCGAAAGGGTTGCGCAGTCTCGCATTATCTGTGGTGAATGGTAACCTCTCCCACAGTGAAGCATACTTAGGTAGCTGAAAGTTAGACGGCGAAGTTGTATTCCCTCGTGGAATAATCAGGGAGAGGTCTTTGTTATCCAAGGCACTCGTGTAGTTGAGCTGCAATGTTAAGGATGAATCCATTGTAATGTGTATTGCCATGACTCAAATTGTGCAGCGGTCTCCAGTTGTTTTAGTCTTTGCAGCCAAAGCAGATGAAGCTGGAGTTGTTGGCATTGCTCTTGAGAGTTGAGGGCAGATGTTTCCCAATACGTGCTCAGTGAATGACGGTTGAAGGCTTTCTATCGACGTTCTGTTTGATTTCCTCACATTGCCTCAGCTGATACTATAATACGCTTGGATGGGACGATTAAGGATTTTAAAAGGTTCAACCGTAGCCGTGCTTGCACGCATGTTGTGAGAGAGGTTAACGAAGGCTTGTCTGGCTCCTACTATCTGGTACTCAATCTGGTCTAAGCACATAAATGTAAAACAATATCTGATTGCAAGATCACGGGTAGACAGTTGTGCACAGATGTGTCAGCTGTTGCGTGCGGCAGATACGTCGGGTGCAACGCGACCGCAACATAGGATACTTGGCGGATGTACTTAAGACGTCAGCAGCCATTAGTCACACAAAGTATCAAGCGAATTACTGTATTCTTGAATATATGGTAGTACATGCGGAAGCTGAAATCCTCTGTACTTCTGGACAAATATTATATCGCCAACAAACAAATACAGCAAGCCATGTTTGTAAACCGAACTGCTATCATTGACAAAATGAAGGGAAATTAATGTACCAAGCGCACCTCCCTGTTTAAGCCCACTAGTAATTGGACGCAAGGAAGACCCATAGATGCCTAAGGTGACTATATTATCTGGACGGTTCATGTATGATGGCCAACCCATTAAAGTGTTGTGGACTTCAAAGATTTCTAAATGCTTCGGTAACCGTTTGCGAGGTACCCGGTCGATGGTTTTCTGTATGTGCAAGCATAGAAATACCATGGCATGGTTTGCGTCAATGGAGCCCGGCCTGTAGTTAAGCTAATATGGCTACCAAATGTGTACGATCGTCAGCCAAGGAAACCATGTTAAGGCCAGTCTATCAACCCTAGTGCGTTGACGAATCCCCACACACATGTTTACCAATTTCAAGAATAATCCGGCCATTATAGCTTGTCCTGTAATTGTCAATCGCATGTTTTGCACAGCCCTTATGGTGGTGGCCGAGAAATGCTTTTCCACTGACCAGAAAAGTACTTGGATCTTAGTGAAACGGCAAACATGAACCAAAGGCACAGTGAAATATCAGGCCCTCCAAGTTTCCTGGCGGAGAGGGGATGCCATCAGTTTCTCGAGTTGAGCACTGTTGAATAGAAAGTGTTGTTTCGCAGTGGTTGTGCAGCACAATAGGAATTTAGATGAGGTCTTAGTGTAAGTATAGCGATAGTGTCAAGTGTCATGTAGATGGAGGAGAAAGAGCTAAATATGCCTAGATTTTAGCCACCATTTTCGCGCTCAATGAAGGAGTTTGTTGGTTCTTCGACGAAGAAATCAGACCAGCTCCTTTGCTTTACATATCATTCATGGGGTATCTTGCTCTTCATGTATGCTCCCCATCGTCTGTTAGCGCTGGAGTTCAGAGATGAGCAGGTGCATCTTGGAGTCATTGTAAATTATCCTATTCCCATTTGGCGCGGGATCGGTTTGCTGGATTTCTGACTAATTGAACCTGTGGCTAATTCTTCTTAAACGTCACTGATTTGTTTTGCTTTTTACGGCAATGAGCGTACTAGCTTGCTGCAACTAATGATAGAAGTGCTCAACGGCCGTGCATGCACCGTTAGAGAGCAAAAAGACCTCACAAGCGCAGGAGCGCATTATTTGACATTAGGGTTTCCAGTTACTACTGCGGCTTGTGTAGTAAGAGGGAGACAATGGCTTGGTGATCAGTTTAACGGCGAACGTTAAGAGGATCACGCTACCGTCGCTACCAGGGATGTTCTCTGAAACGTCTCTCCGAACGTTGGCCATACCCCACGTAAGCCTTATGTCGAACGTATTCGTCGACCTAGTT